ACTATATTAGCATTTCATTTGTTTATTCCCATCTTCCTACACATTGACATAATTCCAATCCATATGGTCCTTTCAAAGGCAAGCAATCCCAGGCTAAAGTCCTTGACCAACCAACTAGGATCAATCCATTCTGTCACTGGCACAAAACCTCTATAGAGCCAAGAGGCAATGCCTCTCAAAGGGATTGTTTATCTCCTTTGGTGGCAATGAATGAGCTTTCACACTGGTAAAGGTGACCAGGGTCGGGACATCATGCCACCGGGATACGATACCTGAAATGTCACCGGGAGGGGGAGGAGATCCCCCTGGAGCATGCACACTAAATGCAGCAGAGTTGAGGAGAAAGTGCCACACATGATGAATATTCTAACAGGAAGGAAATAATGGACAAGGATTATCAGAGTCAAAAGAGGAGAATCAACAAGGGCAAATTTCAAATACAGGGGCAGAAGGCTCTCTGCTGAAGCCTGGAAGTGCCTAAGTTCTAACCAAAGTTCGGCTAACCCCACAGCACGTGTCCTATTTGGCTCTAAATTTAGCAGGGGAAATAATGCAAATAAGAAACACTAAAGACAGGGCATCAAAAATTCCACGACTAGCCAGCTGCAATGAGGACATAAGCCAAGTCTATTCTACACTACTGCCAACCACCAAGGAATAAGGAAAAGAGAAACTGGCTGAGAAGCAGAAACTGATCTCCTCACCCCCTAAGGAGTAGAATATCGTCTCAGATGATAGCTGTAAATCTTGATGCAATGATCCCAACAGTCCAAGACCAGCAGCTGCCCCTTAGGAGTGAGGGCGATGCCCACTGGACAGGTAAGCCCCTCTCGAATGAGGACACTGTAGCCCCCACCCTTAGGGAAGTGGAGAATTTCCTTGCGACTGCTATCAGCCACGATGAGATCACCACGGGCGTCCACACACATGCCAGCGATGCAGCGGAAGTCCTCGTTCTCGGAGAAGAAGTGGCTAATCTGGCGACCCAGCTGCCCATCAGGGCCCACAGAGCCAATGGAGAAGCCCCCCTCCAGGTGGTGCTCATTCTGCCGATTCTCCAGATTAAGGCCCAAGCCCTGGGTGAAGTAGACAGTGCCCTCAGCATCACAGGTGACAAACTTGGGCCGCACGGCACTACAGAGGCAGCTGTATTTGACCACCCCTGCCCCTCGGTCAACAGTGAAGCACCAGAGCTTCCCGCCTTCCACATCAGTCACCACGAACTGGCCAGATGGAAGGGCTGTGATGCCCCAGGGTTTGCTCAGCTGGCTCCTGTGACAGGCCACGCAGTGGCCATCCAAGGTGTATACCTTGAGGGAGTTGTCATAGCTGTCAGTCACACCAATCAGCCCGTGGCAGTTCATGGCCACTGAGAGGGGAGTGAGGTTGGGCAGATCAGCCCCAAGGAAGCTCAGCACAAAGCTATCAATGCCACTGGGGCTGCGACGGATCTCCTTCAGAAAGCCTTTGCGCGTGAAGACTTGTATACGGTAGTTGCCACGGTCAGCAACCAGGACCTCGCCTTGACTGGTCACACAGAGACTAACAGGAAGGTTGAACATGCCTGGCGTGCTGCCCTTGGCCCCCATCTTCTTAAGAAAGAGACACTGCTGGATGTTGGCAGCCATGTCAGAGCCCCGCAGCTTAGCCGGAGAGGCCTTAGGGCTGGCGACCACTCCCTCAGGGCTCAGGTCCATCTCTCTAAAAGTAACAGAGGTAGAGGCAGCCGAGGCTGCAGCCTCCACATCCCAGGAATCTTCCATGTTGACCGTCCGGGGCTTCTTGACAGCCTGCCCAATTTGGAGGGGACCGACATGGCCGACCTTAAGGAGCTCCACGTCCTGTAGGGTCAGCTCCCGTGGCAGGCTGGCGGTGAGCTCTGGCTCCTCCTCATCAGCTGTCTCCTCCAGCAGGGCTACATCTGCCTGCTTGATCTTGGCCAGGAAGTAGTCACAGCGAGACACGGCCTGCACCTCCGCAATGTTAAGCAGGTAGCTCTGCTCCTCTATCACCTGACCATTGGACTTCTCAACCTCCGCCAACGAGCCTGTGAAGAACCTCCGCGAGCGAGCCAGCTCCTCCTGGACCCGGCGCTCCTCGTGCCCGTACTCCTGGAGAACTGCCTTATACCTTGCCTGGAGGTCCTTGGACACGCCTTCCAAGGCCACCTTCCGCCGCTGCAGCTCCCCCGTAAGCTCCCGCAGGCGGGCCAACTTCTCTCCGAAGTCCTGACGCCGCTCCTCAGCCGCCTCTTTGACGAGGAGGGTGCAGTGGCCAGGGGGCTGGTGGTCCGCCTCCCGGCAGGGCTCACATAACACCACACCACAGCTCCGGCAGAACTGCCGAGGGAGCCGCCGCCCACAGGCCCGGCACATGAGCAGACCCACGGCCTCGCTGAGCCCAGCTGTGTCAATGATCTTCAGCACCGTCAGGTTGTCTGTCAGCTGGGTCAGGCTGGTTATGCGGGTGATCTTGCTGCAGAAGGGACAGCGGACACCGTTGATGCTACTGGCTAGCAGCTTCTCCAGGCACTGGCGACAGATGGTATGGCCACAGTGCAGGAGCTTGGGCCGCAGCTGCTCCTCTGTGAAGGACTCCATGCAGATGGGGCATTCCAGCACTTCCCGGAGGGCATCCAGGTTCAGGTGAGAAGCTGCTGCGGCAGCCATAGCTCTTCCTTTAAAGGATCCGCTGGCACAGCCCAGAACTGCAGAGCTTAGTATGCATGTTCCAGACGGTCAAATCCTCCTAAAGAGAAGAATCAGCTGTTATTCCATTGCCTATGTGAGTTAATCCACTCAAAAAACAGAAAACAGCTACCACCACTCATTCAGTCACTGTCTTATTTAAGAATTATTTACTGAGGTCTACCCTCTGGTAGCTGAGGGTGATACACAACAAACCGGACAAAACACTGCCCAAGGGATAAGGACTCAGGTTCCGGAGTCTGAGGCTTCGTTGTGTGATCGTAATGAAGTAACCTAAACTTCCCAAAGCTCAGTGTCCCCAACACCCATCTAAAAAATTGAAATAATCATGATGTCTACTTTCTCTGGTTTCTGGCAGAGTAAGCTTAAATAATATGCTGAACACAATGCATTTAGTATAGTGCTGGAAAGTAGTATGCTTGATAAGTGTCAGTGGTGACTTTTATATTTTCTTATGTCTACAACTCATCATTTATATTAGGAGAAAAACAGAAAAATTAAGTACAGGAAAGGATCATACACTAACTTTTGCAGGAGCCCAGTAGATGGAGTAACAGATTCTACCTAGAAGAACTGGGGAAGGCTTGCTTCCAAGAAATGGTCCTAGAAGATGCACAGATATGTGTAGATGGGGAAAGGCATTTTAAGGAAAGAAAACTGTGAGCAAAAGCATGGAGACTTTTTGTTGTGTTATATAGTTTACCATGTCATGTTGAGGATCCTAGGAATCATACAGAGTAGTAGGTTATGCTGATTAAATGATAAGCTTTAGGTGTTCAGCAAAATATTAGGTCAGAAAATACATGTATTTTTCATTCATCTAGCCTCCTCTATCTGTTCACCAATTCACCCATCTAAGACTAGGTACCAAGTACTACACTAGACAGACACTAAGCTTCTCATACAAATCCTGCCCTTCAGATGCTTAGACTTTAGAAAAGGAGACAAGACATGTAGGTAAATAATAACCAAGGCAGAAAGTAGTATCATAAATGAGGTATGAACTGAGTTTGTTGGAGGTTAAGAGGTATTCACTCTAACTTGAAGGGAAACAATTTTCTGGCATTTGATAGGGTCCTAGAAGATGCACAGATATGTGCAGATGGGGAAAGAGAGTACCAGGCAAAGGGCAGAGTCTTCACAAAGGTTAGAAAGCAAGGGACAAGACAAAAACTTCAGAGTATTAGAAAAAGAACAGAGATTACATAGGCTCTGGGTTGTTTCCTCATCTGTAAAATGAGAATAATACTGCCTTCATGAGGTTAATTCAGGGATTAAATGAGATAATGCATATACTGTATACAATGCTAAGATTTGCCCTCAGCACCAAGAGTCTTAATTTTTGTTGTTGTTTTTTTATCTCATCCTTAGGTTAAAATTGTAGGAGAATATAGGGAGATTAGTGTAACTGGTTTGCAAAGGTAAACTGGGGAATAATTATAACAAGTCTTCAGAGCCAAAATGAGTCCTTTGAACTTCATTTTGATGGGCATAGCGATGTAATGAGCATTTTGGAGCAGGGAACTGGTATGATCAAAGCTTGAATGGAGTAGACAGAAAGGAAAAGAAACTAGTTTGGAAGCTACTGCAAAATTGCCAGAGGGAGATAAAGGAGGGTGAACTAGGGTGCTGGTGTTAGAAATGGAAAGAAGATGCATTTTAGCAATATTCCAGAAGTACAAACACTAAGATTTGTAAACTCAGTGGATTAGGGTAGGGAAGTGGTGGAACTAAGATAGCCAGTGAGTGAAGCCCAGATGATTTTTAAAATGGTATTGCCTTTCAAGACAGTTTATTTTTGGCCTGGAACACCCCCTGCTTCACTAAGTATATGCCCTGAATACTCCCACCCTCCTTGATCCACAGATGCTCATAAAATAGAACCACAGAGATCTCACTGCTCTGCAGCCTTACGTCATTGTCAATTTATGCCCCAAATTAGAATGAACAGATCTAGCAGGGTGAGGCATATGGATAAATTCAGCCCTTCCTAAATGGAATTCCTACAGCTGCACCTGTGCAGTCTTGTGATCTGCAGATGGTCAACCACAGAGGAGGAGGAGGGCATGTTAGCTTGGTTTTAAGGACAATGTAGCAAGCTGAGGAAAGCTTTGCAAATGTTATCAACTTTCTTCATGCATACAGAAGAAGGGAGTCATTGCATATACGCAGTAAAGATTTCCCCCCATATTCAGTTTGGCATCTAAATTTGACAAATATTCAATAACAGACATGCACAATTTATCTAAAGTCAACCCCACCTTCCTGAAATCCCACACCCCTTCTACTGAAGGGGAAACAGCAAATACTCAGTACCTACTATGTGCTTGTTGCCATCCTAGATGCTTCATATACTTAATCTCATTTAATCCTCTTAATGACCCTATGAAGTAGGCACTATTTTTATTATCCTATTTTACAGATGAGGAAACTAAGACTTAGAAAAACTGGCTCAAGGTCACATAATTCAAACATGGTTTTGAACATGAACCCCAAAGTACAGATATCTTTAATTCTGTTTAATCAAACATTATTTTAAGCTCTTTTTTTTAAACTGTCACTTAACACTTATTAACAAGTGTTCTCTAGTCCATATTATGAGAAATACTGGCTTATAGCATGTAATTTTCTCCACAAGTAATACAGAACAATAATACAGTTAGGAGGTCTAGCTACTAGAGTGGGTTAGATTGATTTATTAGTTAAGTGACCCACTCCCACACACCAGTCTTGCAACTCATTTTGACCCAAATCCATGCCTCAACAAAATAACACATCATAATATATTATGAACCTATAATGTCTCATGTGAATATCTGAAACCATGAACTGAATTCTTAAATGCCATGGATGTGGGGGCAATAATAGAAAAATACTGATAGAAACCTCAACTCAGGAATCCATGCAAACCTCAATTCTAAACTGAGGCTTCAGTTCTCTCTTCCATCATCTGGAACAACAGACTGAGGATAACATTTGGTGTTTGGATCCAGAATATGTTACCTTACAATTCACAGGGACATCTGTTCTTCCCAGACCTGGCACTGCAGATCAGCTAATTAAACAAGTCTGCCAACTTGTAGAAATACCAGCAAATTCTTCCCCCAGCTTTCTGGAAAATCATACCACCTCCTTCAATTAAAATGCTTCCTGCCTCCCTAAGCCATCCACTTAAAAAAAATGAATTAACTATGCCCACATCCATACCCCAAATTATCTTTAACTGTCTGCAATTTCACTAGTCTCTCTGAGGCAGGGGAAATTGTCACAGATACCTTCCCAAAGCTACCACACTTTGCCCAGGAAGGAAAACAAGAATTCCTATTGCGAAAGCATCAGGCATGGAGACTGCCTCAGACCTGGAAAAAGTCTCAACCATGTCTCCCCCATTTCTATGACCTGGAAACAGTGCTTTCAACAGAATCTTAACCTGATATGGAGCTATGTGACAGGCAGACACAGCCCTTCTCTGAAAGGATACATCTGGTCATTACCGTTAATACTGAGAATGATTGAGGTGGAAAGTCAATTCGAACTCGCTGAAAAGAACAGATGGGTGAAAGGAATTGTCTTTCTACCCCAAGTCTTTAAGTGAGCTGCCCTTTTTCTGCCGGCTGTAAGGTCTGAAACCAATCAGAATGGCTCCCTAACATGTTAGTTATGATTTTGGCTGCCTCCATGACACCTTGAACATGTTCCCTGTTGTGCACTTTGTACTGCCAACTCTTGACCCCTTATCTCATGTCATCTCAGTTTACCCACCCCCTTCACTCCTTTGATCTTGTGATTAACAATGCACATCCACTCTCATACCAGCCCAGCTCTTTAGCTCCAGATGAGGATCTACCTCTTAAGCTGTATGTGCTCTAGCTGCCCTAAGACTCAGGTCTTTGGGTAAAATTCTGTAATTAAACCCTAGCCTGATCTGGCAGGTTCTGGCACCACCAGGTGTTCCCCAGTCCATGATATACGTAACTGTCACAGCAGAAAACAAACGAAAACCCACTGATCCTGAAGTCAGAACTGTGATCCAATCAGCACTTTTGATTTACAATTTACAAGTTGTGGGACAGTCAATAAATTTTTAACCTCACTAAACCTGTTTTCTTAGTTTATAAAAGTTGTAATAA